TCAAAACTCTTAAATCAAATTTTACAGAAATTTCCTACAAACACTAATTTCCAAGATATAAAAAGAAAATATTTTTACTTTTGCATATAAGATCTAAGTATTTGATAAATAGCTCTTTTTAAAAATGCATTGTTTATTAATGATTATTTAGTGGGAATATTGGACATAAACTACTAAATAATAACTTGAATATATCTGAGTAATCACAATTTCTTGTAAAGTAAGATAAGATTTTTAAAAAATCATTAAAAAATAAAATATACCAGACAGTGTGGCATGTAACATTTATATTCAAAATGCAATTTATTTATTATGTTTAGGTATAGTTAGCATTATAAAAGCAACTGACACTAGGAGTTGTAAGTGATGCTTTGTTTCCATAAAGAAATAAAAATTCTTTGCTCTGGCACAGCAAAGGATTTCTATTTCACACAAGGGATTTCTGTTTGTTTTAAGATCATAAATTTGCTAACCTGCCCACAGCATATCTGTAAAAAACAGATCTGTTAGAGACCAAGAAAACGGAAAAAGATCTGGGAGTAAGCCAATGGCAGAAAGGGAATAGAATAGAGACACAAATTTCAAATACACAGACAAGATAATGGCCCCCCACGGATTGCCCACATCTAACCCCCAAAGCCTGTGAATGTGTGAGGTTCTATGACCAACATGAATTAAGGTTGTGCATAGAATTAAGGTTGCTAATCACATGACTTTTAAATAAAGAGTGTCCTGGATTAACCAGGTGGCCTTAAACACAAGGGTCCTTAAAAATGAAAGAAGTAGAAACAAAGAGGCCAGGGTGATGTGTTGTGCTTTATGAAGAGCTTGACCCGCTGTTGTCAGGAAGAATAACGGCAGCTTGAAGAGGCTGGAAGAGGCAAAAACCAAACAACAGCAACAAAACAGATTTTACTTTCAGAGCCTCCAGAAAGGAAAGCAACCAGCTTACACTCGATGTTAGTACACTGAGTCCCACGTTGGACTTCTAACCTGCAACTGTAGGATAAAAAATGTATGTTTTTTCCAGTTACCAAGTTTGTGGTAATTTGTTACACCAGCAATAGAAAGCTAATTCACAGCTGAGCTGTTCAATAAACTAAGTGCAATAAATGTAAACACAATCACAAGTGAAAATAATCAGAGTTCTAGAAAATTAACATTTATCTTGGAACACAAATAATAAAAGTAGAAACACAGTTACTATGGCACGACTACATGAAAATGGAAATATGTAAGAAGAATGATTTTCTACTTCCACTGGGATATCAGAAGAGAAAGGAGATTAATAAAAAGAATACAGTGATCTAAAGGGCAAGTAAGAGTTTTTAAAATAGTTGGAGTAGCCTCCTGGGAGTTCTGGAATCTTTGTTTCCAAGCACCTTTAAGCTACATAAAAACCTATATGTTTCCTACTCTGACATCTGCCACCCCTAGGCTCATATGTCATAGATTTGAGTCTATTTCATGCTGTGCCACAAATGCATATTACCTTCCTACTCAGTGTAAACTGTTGTGATGCAAATAAGGAAAAAATAAGATATAAATCTACACTACGCTGAGGCAGGAAAGTGGGTTGTTCAAGTCTAGTCTGGGCCACTTAATGACTGAGTAAGACCCTATCTCAGCGTAAAAAAAAATAAATAAAAATTAAAGGGCTGAGCATGTAGCTCAGGGTGAAGATCCTAAGTTCAGTCTCCAGTGGGGGGGGGGGGCGGAATACAGGGCTTAATACTTAACCAAAGTAAATAAACAACTACAGTCAGGCTAGTCAAGGAGAAGAATCACAAGGGAGAAATAAGTTACATATTGACACAAACTTATCAATATATAAAACCAATGCATTTTATTGATTATAAGAAACAATATCATTGGACTATAGAGTCAAGGATCTGTAGACAGGGAAAAAAAATATAATAGGGGCTTCATTTGGTCTTCTAGCTAATCCTGGGTAGTAAAAATTAAAAACAAACTTTACTAGAGAAATTTCCCTGGGAAATAGATCAAGGGCAAAGGTAGAAAAAGAGAGAGAAAACGGATAAAGAATGGTACCAAATGGCCTTGGGACCTGTACCAACAGACCAGAAAAAGTTCTAACAGGCAGGATACAGTGAAAAAGCCAAACTCCAGCTCTAATAAATTAAAATATAGGGGAACGGGGCTGTGATGGACTAATTTTAAGACAGCATGTATTCACATGTATGCACCAACATGTACATGTGTATTCACTCTAATGTCATTATGTTATTCACAATAGGGTCATTATAGAATGTAATAGATATCCACGCACCTGCTTACTAATGCTAAGCTAACCACTTATAAATGCGGTAACTAACTAGCCACTCACCTCAAAGACAAAGCCTTAAAAGATAGGTCAAGAGCCGGGGATTCAGCTCTACAGTGAGTTTGATCCCCAGGACCAAAAAAAAAAGGTCAAGGACAAATAAAAAAGACAGAAAGTACTGCACAAGACCAGTGGAAGAAATGTTGGTAGGTACAGGTGTCTGGAAGCCAATCCAGGCATGGCAAGTGCCAGGTTGGGGGAAAGGGTCTCTGAATCCTTTATAAAAGCAACTGGGAATAAGGGTCCAGGGGTTCTCCATCTTTCCAGAGTCCCCTACCCTGATTCTTTCTTATCAAGGTAGCTATCTGTCTTTCCTTTCTCCCCCTTCCTTTTCCTCTTTACAGTAAAAAGTCTTCCTCTCATTAAACTTTGTCCCTCAAATTTTTTATTGGGGCTGAGTTTACAATTCCAGTGGGCTGTTTGGTCAGCATAGCTCATTCCCCACATGCAGCCAGAGGATACAGGGCCATCAACTTTTAGCAATGAACGTATCCCACCATTCCTAAAAACAAATAAGAAAAATTTAAAAGTGGATAAAAGAAGAGGGAAAAATCTTTATTATCAATGTTTTAAAAATTCAGAAGGAAATAAAAGAATTAGAAAAGTACTATTTACAACCACCATATAAAATGCTGTATCTGAACCATCATCATCAAAACACACTAAAACCACTAGAAAATTTCACAGTAAATTTTATAATAGAAAAATCACACTAAAACCACCTAAACACTCCTATACCAATCTTCAGATCCTAGGTGATCCTTAGATCCTAAATGATCAATTGCATCAGTTGTATCACCAAGAAATACATAGTACCATCTATAAAGCAATATTTACCTTCAAAAATCTGAGTCCAAATATACCACAGACTCCAAATCAATTTACTTTGTATACAAAATATGAGGGATAGAGGAACCAAATGTTTTTTAAAGTACAGAATAAAGCACCAATTAAATAAATCAATCAATTTCTTTAGAAATTAGTGATAATTCAAAAGGGAAGAAAGAAATGTTGGAGTTAAGTATAACATATAGACCTTGTTTATCTTCTGATTCAAACTACAGTTTTAAAATCACAAGAGACATTTAAATATAGATAAATATAGTATGGAATTATTGTTATAATAAAAGCATAACATTATTTAAAATAATTGTTATCTGTTGGCAATTCATATTGAAACCTTTTCAGAAAAAACTGTGATATTTGATTGTGCTGTAAATTTGATGAATAAAAGTATATATAAAGAATACAGAATAAGATTAGCAAGACAAAGATACATATTCAAGATGTATGATGAGAACTAAGGGCTCAGGACAATATTCTCCCTCTTTGTATGTCTGAATTTTTCTGTAATAAAAAATTTAAAGGATGCAAACTATAATAAGTAAATAAGCATTCTTAGTCTATTTAATCAAACTTCATAATTGAAACAGTAAAAAGTTTCAGTTTTTGTGCTAACAATTTCCTTTAGTTTTCTGAACATACTTTTCATAAATAATTTAACTTCTCTCTATATAAAATAGACTGTCTTTCACCTGGTATAGAAAAGACATTTGTTATTGACCAAACTCTTGTAATCAAACAACATCTACTATAAATAAAATAACACTTCTAATGTTCGATGTAAAGAGATAATAGGTCTGATTCTATTTTTGTGGGTAAGCATACAGTTTCTGGTCACTGTTTATTGAAACAAGTTGATGTAATAGGGAATGTTTGTGAACATTCAATTTTTGTGTAGCTAATGCATTCAAATTTAGCATTATATTTTTCCAAAATGTCTGATCTCACAGTCATTTGGTAACAATCTTTACTTTTCTTATTATGGTTTAGATGTAGAACGTCTCCCAAAATTCTCATGAGTTCAGTGGGCTTTTTAAGGTGATAGAATCATGGGAGTGCTGTACTCATCAAGGGACTGATCCACTGATTTACCCATAGTAGAATGTGCGGTTGGGAGGTGGGGTCTGGTCAAAAGAGGCAGTTCACCAGGGGCATGACCTAGAAGGGTCAGTCTTCTCTTTACCTCTTCCTTTCACTCTGTGCTTCTTGGCTAGCATGATTGGAGCAGCTTTCCTCTGCCAGACGCTGCCACCATGCTTCTCCTACCTTACAGCCAGTCACTGTAACTGACTGAAAACTATGAACCAAGTTAAACCTCTCCTCTTTAAATTGTGTTTTGGGTATTTTGTCCAAGCAATGACAAAGTGATGATGACCTTTCTTGTTGGAAATACTATAAAATTTTAAGATTATATATTATTTTTATTTTAAAGGTAGCACCTTATGAAGAGACACCCAAAAACCTGTCTGAAGAAATTTCTGTCTGAAGAAAATAAAGGCATCAAGAAGAAAATTTGTCCATGTTAACAAAACTATGTAACAGAGGTTTGAGCCAAGGCATTTCAGCTAGTGCTTTTTAATATGTAGTAGGTTGTGTGGGCAGGAATTATACGTAGAATGACAAGGAACACAAGTATTTTTACATGCAATAAAATTTTTTAATTTAAAAATTGTTCTATGGATTGTAATTTGTAACTCTAAATTTTTATCCAACCAAGGATATAGAACCAATCATTGTAGCCTTTAAGGTTTACACGTGTTATTCCCGTTGCCTGCTACCTCCCTCTTCGGAGCCTGATCCCTCACCACCTTACCAACAACAGCTTCGGTGTATTTTCCTTCTGTGGGAAGAGGGAAGTACTGATTTGGGGATACATTGCTGCCATAGCCCAGGAGAAAACCTTCAAGCTTTACATTTGGATTTGGACGCAGGAACTTCAGGAGGATGGAGTCACTGGTGGTATTGATATGGACTTTCAGGCTTGACTTTTTACCTAACAATAGAAAAAAAAAAAGGTTATTTTACATGTCTGCATCTACAAAAATTTCCAGAAGAGGTAAATGCCTGGAGGCATTGTCCTCTGAAGGCTTCTTGTCAATTTTGCTACATAGAACCAAAGCAAAGCACGTGCACCCAAAGGCCCAAAATATATCTAGGAAACAGCTGTGTTCTTTGAAATCAAAGAAAATAGACTTACCAACATATAGAGTAACCTATAATAGAAAAAAATCTTGGGGATTCAATACTTGATCATCTATTACTGAGCAAGTAGATAGAATTTTTATTTTTGTGTCTTTCCACAGTTGATAGAAACTTTGACTTTATGATGATAGGACCTAAATTTTCTATTGGAAAAACTGGATTACCAAATCTTGAAAGCCCCCGCCCCCATTTCCTCTGTGCTGATGTTTAACCCCACACCCACAGATTTTGGTCATTGAAATGGTTTGGAAAGAGAAGGAAGAAGGGAGGATCTTGACTTAGGGTTAGCCAAGGCAGTCAAATAAGGAGTGCTAGAAGGAAGAGAACGGTTAAGGAGAAAGATGACTTTGTTCTACTGGGTGCTCACCGGGTCAGTGAGACAGTGACACTTAGATGTTCAATTGTGAGTTTAATATCTAACTGTGATGTTCAGCACAGGGTGGCTGCCACTAGCTGGTAAGCGATAGGTGGATGACCATCTCCAGAGAGACTGTGGAAAGTGAAGACAGAGACCTTACTTCAGTTCTCGTGACTTTTTTTCTGAATCACTAATGCGCCAGGGGAAGATAACCACCAAAACGTCTTACCACTTCGACCTCTGGCAATGACGTGAACATGCTGAGCTTTAACTTCCTATTTGTGAATGACAGATGACAGCTCCTTTTTGCTGGATTATTTACCAAGATTATTGAAAAAGGCACAGCCCTAAAGCTGGCCTATAGCAATTGCTCAATACACACTTACCAATATAAGGCATCATTCAAAAATCCAAAAGGCTTTGTACTTTTTTAAAGTACGTTTCATACTTTTTAGTAACAAAACCCACTCTTAACCATTCTGAGTCCATTTAGTATTTCTTTAGTCTCATTTGCTAATCACATTTTTCATTGTGGAAACTCAATGTTTGCTGGTTAAGATCTCACTGAAAGGTTATGTAATACATTGTCTAACACTTTTCTAACATGTCCAAAATTTCTACATTCCAAAACATGTCTGGCTCTGAGGTTTAAGATTGTGAGTTTGTTTTTTAATTTGTTCTTCAAAAATTTCATATTTTAAAATATTTTGCCTATTGGGAAGACTGCATTTATCTATTTAACAATTTGCATTCTATGTCTCATTAATGAAAGCTTTATGTTTTATAAATTCTATCATCACATCTTTACAGCATGAGTTGTGAAGTCACACTGACTTTGTCCATCTTCAGTTAAAACCAGACTTCACAGTCTCAATCACTATAGGTACATAAGAGAGATCCACTCATTAAGCCTTTGAAAACAATAAAAATAGAACTTCCATGAATATCAGGTTGTGGGGATCTCTTACCTCTGTATCCAGAACTATAAGTACTATGTATATGACTATTATTTTGCACTTCTCAAAAACTTGAAGTTTTTATTTTTAAGTTTTATGGTTTTTTTTTTTTTTTTTTTTTTGGTACCGAGGATTGAACTCATGACTGTGTACTTGCAAGGCAGGTGTTTATGCCACTGAGCTAAATCCCCAGCCCCATTACTTTTAAGTTTTATATTGCTATTCTTACATCTGGTAGTAAAGCTGATGCCTGTAAATACTGAGTGGTTTATCCATAGTCTGAAAATGGGACTTCATAGCTTATGTAATTCAATTCCTCCAAATGATGAAATTGAGGGCATTCATACTTCCATCACTCTGCATGCTTAGAGGAGAGGAGGCTCAAAACCGGATCTCAGGTCCCCTCTGAATTGGACTCACCTACTCCCAGTTTCACTGAGACTATTGTCACTATCCAAGAAAGGCAGGGACCAGTGAGGCCACAGATCACAATGCTCTAGCTGATGCTATTGAGGCCTTCATTTATTTTAACTTCACCAGATTTTGATGAGGCAATTTCTACTTCAGATAAAATACACTTTATGCAAGTCAATTTTCCCTTTTTAGCAGTGTACCTGTATTAACTCCAGATTTAGTCACTCCTTCCCAACAGAATGGAAGAAAGGTAAAGCAAGCATGTGTTCTGCTATTTGAGAAGGCTATCAGATCTCACAGAGTCAGAAGGCAACCAGTCTGTTTCAATACTTTGCTGAAAAGAAGAGACACAGGAAGTAGCAAAATTTGAAGTAAAGATGGAATATTTTGAAGGGTATTAACATTAATATGTCTTTTATTTTAATAAACTTATACAAATGCAAACATTTGCTGTATATTTGATCACATCTGGTACATCAGCATCACATAACTTGTCATATGAAGTTGCTTTTAGCTGCCCCACTTTCTCCAAAATTCTAATTCATACCACTTTCGAAAGCTAAACTTCTTAAAATACCCTGACAAAAAGAAATACTGGTAGAAAAATCTTGTCTCAGTAGAGCATCACAAATTTAATATTTTAAGGTCATCATTCAACATCAGGATTATAGTGTGTTTTCATCAGAGGTCAAGTAGTAAATTTTTTGGTAATGAATAACTTAGGCTTCTCAAACTACATCTTTCTACTACAATTAATTATCTCTGCAATTATCTCACAAAAGTGGCAATGGGCACACAAGCAAGCATGCCTCGGTTCAGTAAATCTTATTTGTAAAAATAGTGAGCTGAATTTACCCCACAAGTCACAATTTACAAAGTCCTGATCCTTATCACTAATCTTCTGGGAAATTACAAAAAAAAAGCCACATTAGCATAGCACACACATAAGAATGGTTAAAATTCAGAGACTGTCAATAATAACTGTTAGGAAGGATTTGAGATTCTCATACATTTTGAGTGTGACTATTAAATGGTATACCTCTTGGAAAAACTCAGGAAGTTACCAAATAAACTGTCCCTTCCATTCTTAGGTATTTGCCCAGAAGAAGTACAAATGTACATAAATATTAAAAGCAGCACCAAACTATAAACATATAGTTCAGTTCGACAGCTGAAAGAGTAAAATAATTTATGATTATTCAATGACTCAGCAGTAAAACAGCAAATTATTTATTCTTGCAGTGACACAATTGTCTTATCTAGCATGCTGTAATGCCACTACTGAATGAATCATGACCTTCCTTAGCTCTGTAACTATTGTACAGCCTTCCCTGATAAAAAGCCATCCAACAAATGGTACATGCATGCAAAATCAGCAAATTCTTCTCAGACATTATAAAGCATCAATAACTGGCAATATTAAATTTTAAACATATTCTGTGCTTTTTAACAGAGACAATGGATTACATGTGGAAAACATTCTAATGCTTTAGGGTCACATTGGCTTATTCAAAAGCTATCAATATTGTTCACATTATATTTTGTGTTAGCCAGGGCAGTTTGTTTCTGACAACACACTCGAAAGATTCCAAAAATTCATAGTTGATGGTATATATTATATTAAACTATAATACTAAGATATACAGAACATTAGTTTAACATAGAACTTGGCAATAATGTAACATTTGCCATTATTCTTAGAAGTTATATAACTTAGAAATGGTGATCAAGTGAATTTCTCTGTTCTGATTCCATAAGTTGAGGAAAGGTGTTGAAAAGCAAAACACAACCATATGGAGTTTCAGCAATTTTTCTGTTATAGCCACAAAGTAAACAAAGCAGCGAAACTCAATTAGACAAATATTGACAGAAGTTCTTGTTCTTATAGTCTATAGGATGACTTTTCTTAGTAATACAAAAGCAACCTGAAGGCCAGTGATATTAGTGGAAATTTTCTATAACAAAGAAAATAATAGCTTCTGTTAAATACTTTAAGTATAATAAAGATTAAATATTGCTATTAGGTAATATCATGCATTATTAAAATCTTCTAGCAGTCCTGAAATAACAAGATGTTTGAATAATCTCAGCAGAGACAATCTAAGCTCATTATGGAGATAAAGAAAGCCATAGTCTGTTCTGCAGTCATATAGTGGCATACCGTAACTGGGTAGGTAAAATGAATTAAATTATTTTCATGGTGGTGGTGGTGTGTGTATGCATGTGCAGATTTGTAAGTAAAAATGCTCACCCATTAGTTGCTCAGCGAATCATTTCTAAATTTCAAGTTGAAGGGCATTGGTGGTAGGATGTCTTGCTAATAGGGACTCCAAGCTATAAGCAGTTTGTGTGCTTCTCAATTTACAACTGAAATTATTCCACCATATATGTGAAAAAGATGTTGAAACAAGGATTTAAATAAGAACAATAGAAGAAAGATTCTGGATATTCAAGAACTATTGAATAATAACACAGAGCTTTAGAGGTGGACAAAAAGCATCTGTACCTGTGTTTTATAAATACAAATCTGAAAACATAAGGGAAAGACTTGATTATAATGATAAATCATGATACTTTTAAATCTGAAGAAAAATGACATTTTAAAATTTTTACAGAGTAACAAAAATTGTGATAAAATTCCCAAAAACACATGAACATCTGTCGCAGTGCCAGGGAGTGGAGTCTTTAAATATACTCAGAATCTGGACTTACTCATACATGATCGTACATTTGCAAGAAGTATGCTTTGTGGTGTTTCATGATCCCTGTTCCAGGGCAAGCAGAATATCACATTCTCTTTCCAAGATACCTGTGGCAAGCCTCCCAGTTGAAGGACATGCTCTGCATGCAACACGTGCTTGCAGAGTTCAGGAAATAATAAATCCTCACTCACCTGAATAGCTCCCCTCATAAAGACATTCATGGGTAATTCCTACAGAGCAATAACTCCCAGGATCAAAGCTTGCTTATTTATTAGAACATTGTGGACACCAAATACCCAGAGGGTATTTGCTATTGAATTTGAACATTTGAATTTAGAAATACCAAAAGGCTGAGGGAAAA